AATCTCACTTCTACACAGATTTAACTATCGTTCTTTCTTGGTTGGGATCACCATCCAGCCGATGGAAAACCTTTGTTACCAACAGAGTAGCAAAAATCCAAAGCTTATCTTCCCCAAATCAGTGGCATCACATTAGTGGTGACACAAATCCAGCAGATATCGCAACCCGTGGTGTGTCATCATCAGCATTATTCACATCTCAGTGGTTTAGTGGTCCAACATTTCTGTATCAACCGATTTCTTTCCAAACAAATATGCTCATATCTCAAATGTGTGAGCCTGTGCCTGAAGAAAGAGTGTGTACTGTGCAGTCAATTGCTACAATCAGAGATTCATCTGAAGCAGATGAATTGATAAACAAATTCTCCTTTTTCTCTAAACTTAAACGTGTAACAGCATATTGCTTAAGATTCATTCACAATTGCAGAAACTCCAAAAGTAAGGTAACTGGTTTTGTAAAAACTGATGAACTTAATAATGCTATGAATGTATTGATTAAATTAGTTCAATCTGTTGAGTTTAATAATGAGATCAATGCTCTTCAAAAAAATCAACCCTTATCTTGCAAAAGCAAAATTTTATCTCTCAATCCCTTTTTGGATCATTCAGGTATACTTAGGGTGGGAGGTCGCTTGCGACATGCAAATATCGGATACGACCAAAAACATCCCATCTTACTGCCAAAAAGGCATGCCTTAACTGATCTCATTATTAGACATTATCATCAAAATTTATTACATGCTAGTGCTCAACTTGTACTATCATCTACTCAGGAAACTTTTTGGATCATGGGTGCTAGAGACATTATTAGACATTTAATTAGAAAATGTGTTAAATGTTGTAGAATTAGAGCATCTGTCACTAACCAAATGATGAGTGATTTGCCATCCAGTCGAATTTCTCCAGCTCCTACATTTTTACGATGTGGAGTTGATTATGCAGGCCCGTTCCAAATTAAAGCAGCTAAAGGACTGGGCTCTAAAACATTCAAGGCATATATAGCTCTTTTTATTTGCTTTACAACTAGAGCTATCCATTTAGAGTTGGTCACTGATCTTTCTGTAGATGCTTTCATTGCAGCTCTAAAGCGATTTATTTCTCGTAGGGGTAAATGTAGCGACATATACAGTGACTGCCGGTCCAATTTTATTGGAGCTAAACGTAAACTAATGGAATATGAAAGACTAGCAAATTCGAAGAGTTATAATCAAAATGTTGACAAATTTTTGTCTGATATGGGTATATGTTGGCATCTAAATGTGCCCGGCGCACCTCACATGGGGGGCCTATGGGAAGCGGGCATTAAATCCACGAAATATCATTTAAAACGGGTTGTGGGTGATATCAAATTAACACACGAAGAATTTGAGACCCTCTTAGCCCTGATCGAAGCTTGTCTCGATTCTCGACCTTTAACTGCCTTATCTTGTGACCCTAACGACCTATCGGCCTTAACACCAGGTCGTTTTATAATCGGAAAACCATTAACAAGCATTCCCGAACCAAATTACACCGAATCTAACATTTCTTATCTTACAAGATAGCAAATAATCCAAAAAATTGTACAGCAGTTTTGGAAACGTTGGCACAAGGAATATTTGAGTAGACTGCAACAACGACCAAAATGGCTTTTGCCAACTAAAAACATCGAAGTTAATGATTTGTGTTTGTTAAAAGATGATAATTTGCTACCTACCAAGTGAAAAATGTGCAGAGCAATTACACCCCGGTATTGACAGCCACGTCCGAGTTGTAACTGTTAGAACATCAGATGGCATATTTAAAAGAAATGTAACAAAATTGTGTCTCTTACCAAAATAAGCAGAAATTTATACTAAAAAGTGTCTTTATGTAAGTGTATTCATGTAAACAATTCATTTAATGTCTTATTGCATTTGTATCATATTTAGGAATTTTGAAATAGTATTTCAATGTGGGCGGCATGTTCGGCCTTAAATTCAGTTTGCCTCATCACTAGAGGGTGCTATTATTCATTTTCTATTTTTTCTATTAATTTTGCTGTTCAGTGCGTGTGTAAACAAAGAGGAATAAAGTTAGATCTAGAAGCGCGTGCTGTTTCTTGTCTCGTCTCATTAGTAATCTTTGTTCGCTTATTTTCTACACATCTTTAGTAATTCAGTATGATCAAAAATGTTAATCTTATAAATGCTTTTATTTGGTCCACATTTATAAATAATTTTTATTTGATTCTGAAATATACACCCAATTGCTTTTTTTTTAAGACAAAAGTAACTTACATTAATTTTAAGATAAAATTATTATTATGATTATTATTTTTTACATAATTGAATAAAGTAATTATTTGTTTAAAAAATAGAATGAACAACTCTACATTGAATATATTTTTAAAATATTGTATCAAATGTTTTTTTTTGGTGGCTAATTAAATTAAGAGTGATTTACTTTTTAATGTTATTGCAATTTGTAAACTGCTTTAGAAATACAGTTTTTGATTGCTTAAAAAGTACTTACATTTTGTTGAAAAATTTGGCTACTTCAGTTCCGTGTTTTTTCATATCCACTTTCAGGAATGATTAAACTGTAGATGAAAAACAGAAACAAAAATTGAAACTGTTTTTTCAGTCTAACAAATTGTATATAAAGCTTAAATTTGCAATGTATTTTTAAGCAGCGTTCGTTGATTTAAATCAGCTTGATTTAAATCACGATTTAAATCAACTGATTTTTTTAATATATATATTGATTTTAAAAGTTAAAAAACAGTGTTTTAAATATTTGATACTTTGATTGTTTTCTTTTCTTAGTTTTAAAATTTATTTTAAAAAAATTGCTGTGTTAATTAATTTTAGTTAACGAAATTACTTTCTTTCTTAGTGTGTGTTAAATTCCAGCACAGTTGAAATTATATTTTAAAAATTCTTTTGATTCTTGAGATTGAAAGTACACACTTAATGCTGTCTTAATATAGACTTGCATAGCTATAGAAAGTAATTAATAGACATGAATTTCGAGAAAGAAAAAAATACAAATAATCTTAATTAAAATTCTACCTTTTGATTGAAATAGCATGGAATTAAAATCTACATTATATTTTATTGATGGAAAATGTATATTTCTAGAGCTTGAGGTTATATTAAAAAGAAATTACCCTAATATGCCAAAAATAGAAGAAAAAAAAAGGCTAATGAATTCAGATATTTTTTCCTAATATGTTGTCATTCTTCCCTTTTAAAGTTTATTTGAGGCAGTAGAGTTATTAACTGGTAACTTTTTTTCCCCTCATAATATGTTTACAGAATCTTTGACATTATCAGATTTTCTATAAAGAAATTTTGTGAAAAAAAATTCCAATGAGTGCATAGATTTTTTTAAAAATTTTTTTAGCTAATCTTTTTTGATATAGAATTAAAAATTAATATTTTAATATAAAAATATATAGATTAAATATTTATTTATTTTTTGATGAATGACTACATTTATAAACAGAATCTCTTACATTTATTTTGTTACATTTATTAAAATCAAGAGAAAAAAAACGCAATTTTAAATTAAAATTATGGTTTGCTAATTGAAACTTTAATTTAATAAATAAAGTGTCTGTCCAAGCCAAATTTGCTAATGCTTAGGGTACCTTCACAAATTCAACTTTCGGAAAAAAATGCTTTTTTTTAAAATTTTATTTTTGTGTTTCGTAAGAAACAAATAAATCCGTATTTTGTGTTGATTTTTTAATATTTTTAATTTTTCACAAATTATGTCTAAATTTTCACAAAATAAATACCTCTCAGAAAAACCTAGACAGACCCCTTTCATTAAATTCTCTATTTCATCTAGTCTTCAAATTTCAATCATGTATTTGTTTCAAAATTGTTGCTATGCATTCAAAGCTATGTATTATAATGAAAAATTATATTAGTAAGTTAGAGCTTCTATAATATTGTTAATAATATTATCTTAATATTAATTTAATTTTGATTAAACATTTATAAAGTATTTTTAATCATAAATTAAAGTTTTTACAATGTGTTTCAATAAAAATCAAAAAAATCTGATTTAAATAAAAAAAATCCGAATTAAATCAAAAAAATCTGATTTTATAAAAAAAAAAATCTCGAGCCCTGTTTTTAAGTAAATAATTGTATAGAATTTTTTTGGAAGGAAGAATGTACTCTGAGCTAATATTTTTGAAATTTTCCCCTCTTGACAATTTTTTATTAACGAGTAAAGCTAAAAAATAGAGGATAATTTAAAACTGTTAGATAAAATATTCTAAATTTATTATTGGACTTAATTTTTTTTCCATCAATTTTCTGTGCAGGAAGTTGAAGTGCATAAAAAAATAACAATACCTAACTTAAAAATTTATTTACACAGAATTATTCTAATGTCTAATTCAATAATGTATAATGTTGACTCAGACCATGGCTACTGAATAAAACATCAGTATATCTGGTTCATTCTCCATTGAAAAATTTCTTTTTTTTATGTTTTACCAATTACATAAATGTAAAATACATTTAATAACATTTACATGAATCGAATAATTTCCTTCTAAAAATAAATTGGAAGCGAAATGGCGTGAAATAAAGTAATGAAAATTTGCTTTGGCGATGTGAATTTTTTTTCTGGTACACATCCAATTGTGTTTTGCATTACAAAGTGTGCAGTGTTGATTAATTACTTAGTCATTTATTCCATTTGAGTGCAGAATAATTCTAGTGATAAAGACAACCTAATTACAAATTTTGATTTATTTGCTGTTTTCTTATTGTTGAAAAATTGTATGTTTTTAAGGCCTTTTAATTAGAGGGTGAATCACAGACTCTAAATTCAAGGTATATAGGTTGTATAAATGTATGCCAAGAATAGCTTGAATTCTGTCTATTAAGTCAACTAAAATGTAAAAAGTAAACTGTATTTTAGTTAGACTTATGTAATCTGTAATAAGCATTGTTTGTGCATTATATGTGGAAAAATGCTCATAGAATGCACTGTATGATGGTTCTTAAATTTTTTAGATTATGCATGAAGTAAAAATTGGAATTAAGTATGCTTTTCAAACTGAAAATGAAATGACATTTGCTGTTAGTGGTACTGGACATTGTGCTATGGAAACAGCAATTTGTAATGTTTTGGAGCCAGATGATAAATTTTTGGTTGCCTCACCTGGAATTTGGGGAGACAGAGCTTTAAATATTGGTCAACGACTTGGTAAAAACGTTATATTACTTAATTCTTTTAAAAAGTATAATTTTATTGATTATTTTAACAAAATTTGTTCAAGCTGTAGATTTTCTAAACATCTTAATTCATAAGTACTATTAGTCTTGGTAGCAGAATTTAGTTTAATTATTGGAAATAGCACTATTAATCTTTAATCAAAATATGTCGGCTATTGCAACACAGATAGCCAGATACTTAGGTATAATTTAGTCTAACATGTATATAGTAAAATTTGTATTTACAGATAAAAAGTGCATAGAAATTATGCTAAAGCATTTGCATTGCTTAACTTATTTTAAAACTTATTTTATAATAATACTTAAAATAGGAAACGGGACAAAACCATACATGAAATAGTTAAATATGTAAACAGAAAAGATTATTATAAAATCACTTAAAAAAATTAAGAACAAAATAAACAATCTGTAACAGAAAGATTCTATTTAAAATTCCCTTAAACCATCATTATCCATTGTTACTGAATCATTTTAATTTCTCTCTCAAAATGAATAAATTAGGAACTTGAAAATGTTGAGTTAGCATTTCTGAAAAATTTTCTTGTCAGTTGTTATTCCGCTCAGATTTCTAAATTAACATGCGTTGGAAGGTGAGCTGTAATAAACAATATTAAATTTTGAGGAATCCCTATTTTCTGTACACACACTTTGCAACTTCATGGTGTTAGCTTTATAAATGCACTGTAAGAAAGGTATAAATAGTGGGTTACCAATTTAGAGCTTAATTGTTTTTACCTCTTTTTAGCTAATTGTTTTGTCAAAAGTTACTCAAAGCTTTTCAAAGAAAAATTATCTTTAAAAAATGTATGACATTATTATATATTTCTATGAATTCAATGAAGTATGTATTTTGTTTTATTTCAAGGGGCAAAATGTCTTCAACTGAAGACACTGGAAGATGAGGTTCTTCAAATTAAAGATCTAAAAAAAGTAAAAGCTGTTATTGAAACTTTTGATAAGAAATGATAAATCTAAAATTTTTAAAGTTGTATAAAAAAATTTTTTTTCCTTCAAGCTTATAATAAATTATTTTTATTTTGTTACTGGTGTTTAACGTATTGGATGCACATTTTTCGGTGGAACTGGATTGTATGTATTTTAAAAGCCAATGTTATATACTAATTACTTAGTTATTTTATTTAAAACAAAAATAAAATTGTCAATCTATTTTGAGATATATTTTTAAGAGTAGAACGTTTCTCTGGAAAAGAAGGGGACACTGAATCACATACTTTTTCATAGGTGAAATTTTTTTTTCTGAGTCAGTATAGAAAATTGCTCTTGTTTTCTATTTTAAAAAGTGAAATTGGCACTTATTTGCTTTACACTTTCAATTATTTAAAATATGTTAAAACCATTTGCAGTATTTTATATTATTTACTATTGGCATCCGTTATCAGAGACATAAGTGTTATACTTCTATAATATAATTTGCACTTTTATCATATATATCATGCACTTATGTATGTTTATTCAAACATTTTATGTTTTGAATGATATGTTTTTGATCATTGATTTTTTTTTAAATTATAAGGTTCACTCATACTTTTAGTTCATAAATTTTTTTTATAAAACATAGAGATTTGCATGGTATTTACATTTTTATTATTCAATTATTTACATATAAAATTGAATTGTTTCATTTTGATTTATTTATGATTATAGTTATAGGTCAAAAAACGGCATTTATCATTTAGTATAACATTAAAATGTAAAGGTTTGCTGCGAAATTCTAAGTGCTAACTTATTTTCTAAAGATATAAATTTACCTAAAAAATTTACATAATTAATTAAAGGGTTATTTTTTTATAAGAAGAAAGAAACTTTTTTTATTTTCTTTAAAAATACCTGGAACTTCTTCTCTTTTTACTTTCTTAGAGTGTTATTGTATTACTGCATAAATATTAATTCTGTTAGGTGGTTAGAGAAATTTAGCACTTAAGTAGTCCATCCCGCAGGAATGTTTTCTATAACACAGTTACTATAGAAAAATCTTGTTTTCTACACAGCTTGCAAAGAGCATACATTTGTAAATTTGTAGAATATGTGAAAATGCTAAATCTCACTATTCCTTCTAAAAGTAGTTTAAGCAAATGGCTGCAAAACCAATTATTAAAACCCTTTTGTTACAGTTTTCAGATATCATTTGTGACAATTTCATAACAAAGTCCAATCTGAATTTTTTTTTAAAATCAAACTTTTGCTTAGCAAATCTAATTTAATTTGCTAAATATAATAAAATAAGATTATTGAAAATTTGTTAGCTGGAAACATTTTATATTAATGAATTTAAACTAGGTATCTTTATGATAAGATTATAATATTGAAAAAAAATTGACAAAGCATTAAGCATCACAAATAATTTGTTTAAAACAATGAACATGTTTCTACAAAAAGAACTTTTTTCAACACAAAACAAGACAAAAATGGTAAGGGGTTATATGAATGCAAAACAACTGTGGCAAATGATAAAAATAATTGATGGATTCCAGAATAGATTTGATTCCAATTCATTTCTGATATTAAGCATTGTACCTTTATTTATGATCATTCTTTTCATATTAGCTTTAATTTTTGCAAATGAACTATCATTAAACAAAAACGTTATAGTTTTCTGCAACTATTAATGCATTTATTCCTTATTCAATTCCTGCAAAGGCTAAAATAAAATAATAAATTTAGAAAAATATGTAATTTTTTTTGTAATTTTTAATTGTATAACTAACTTGAAATTTCCTTGAAGTATTTTAAAATAAGAATTGAAATTCAAATTAAGGCATACCTTATTTCATACGAATGTTTGATTTTACATGATACATATTGCATTCTCTGAAATAATAATTAATATGAAAGTAAATAAATTTTATTCTTCATTTAAACTCATATAATTTCATCTCTGATTTATTAATTTTTTTTTTAGACTATGATTGAATTTCAGCCGAATGTAGTATTTTTATGTCACGGTGACAGCTCTACTGGTGTTCTTCAACCATTACCAGACATCATTGATTTTCTTAATAGGTAAAAATATTTTTTTCAGGAAACGATAGTGTAAGATTCAGTTTATAAGTTGTTTTTTCTACCATCTTAAGTTTTGAAGTTTATAAAATAAAATATACATAAAAAATTACAATAACTGTCAGAACATCCAAAACTTGTGCAGAGACGAGCCTTTTTCACTGATTTTGATCAAATTAACCAATCAAAAAAATCTGAGAATCTTTCATCATTTGAGAATTAACTGAGTGGTGTTATGCCTGAAGGTTAAAAAAATGCTTATGATGTCTGATTAGTTAATTGAATTTTTATCTTCCTTCTTGGTATCAAATATTTTTCATTCACAGTTAAAAATTTTTCATTCATAAGTGTTTTGAACGCATACTGATAGCATGAGTTAAATTGTAAATAAGCTTGGTAAAATCATTTTTTTTTTTTTAAGAATCTGTTTTGCTTTCTTTCATTTATAAAGATAGTTTTGTCAAATATATCTACCATAAATATTTCTACAGGATGATTTTATAGTCAGCAGACAAACTTTGAAACTTTAATAGAATATTTTTGAAGAAAACCAAAAAGAAAAGTGAATCTCCTGTGTTAGTGTCTTTATTATATGTTTAACCAAACTTTGTAAAAGGAAAAAGCAGCAAAAATTTTAAATGAATTAATAATGAAGTCCAAATGGCTTTTATACTTGATTTGAAAATCTGATCTATGTATGACTTTTAAAACTTAGAATTTTCAAGAATGGTTTTACTATCAAAGAAAAACCTACAAATGTTTATTTTAAAATCAAATTAAGGTTTTCTGCTACCTCAGTGAAATTACAAAAAAAAGGTGCATTCAAACTAGATGATGTTATAGTCTGTTCTGTATATATGCATTTGCAATTTCCAGAAATTCCTGATTATACGCTAGGGTGCCTAATTTTGAAACTTTTTTTCACAGTAAAATGTAATACCCAACAAAACTGATCAATCCAAGTGGGCATAATAGATATAATTTTTTTAAAAAAATATCAAATAATATCCTCTGTGTGAACTATAGTTTCAAAATTTTAATTAAAAACTTATTTTTAATAGCTTATTAACGCACTTATAACCATTACACATTAATAGCTTATTTTTTATCCTTAAAATTCAAGTTAAATATTCTTTAGGAGACAGAGATGCCTTAATTGCAAATTAACTGATATAAAACAAAACCAATAATTGAAAAAACGCAAAAAATTTCATACTTAATTATAAGTACAAAAGAAAACTTTAAAATAAAAAGAAAACTTAGTAATCAGATTACATAAAAACAACACTTGAAAATTGCGAAATGGAAGCTATAGTTAAAAAAGGCACTGATATAAATATTAAAACCATGGAGGAAACGGGATATTTTATAATGAAATGTATTAATGAGAAAAAAACAACTTATTTTTAAAATGTATGAATAAAAGGAACTAATTTATTGAGTACAAAATTTATTGTGAACGGCGGGGGAAAAAAAACTCAGTGAAATCAGAAATGTATTGCATTTATAGAAAGAAAACTGTAATCTGCTTCATAAAATAACCGTCTAATATTAGTAATAAATAATTGTATGCTTCGATTAATGAACAATCTTCTATATTTATGAATGCAGACGAGTTTTAATTAAAGCAGATCCTATTCCACATCAAATAAAACTTGCAAATGATACCACACTTCTAAAGAGACACTATTTATTCAATTGAAAAATATTGTTTTGTTAATCGATGTCAAGTAGATAAATATACCATACAATAAGAAAATGTTTTGTTCTTAATAATTAATAGTAATAATAATCTATTATCCTAAATTATAAAAGAATTTGTCATAATAAATCAAGGATAACAAAAACTGAATAACTAAAGTGGATTAAGAAAAAATCTAACATGTCAATTCTCTTGAGGCAAAAGTTTCAAGTTCCTTAACTTGGACATCCAATCGACAGCACTCAGAAGCGATTAAAGACTAATAGAAGAATCTTGAAGATGCACCTAATGATGGTTGTTTCGGGAAAAAAATCAGATTTTTTTTTCATCCTCTATTGCGCAAGTGAAAATTATGATATTATGAAAAACCGAAGAGTGAAATCCAACAATTTGAATGAGTGTCGAATTCTCTGACAATGACAATTCCTGATTTTTTGGTAAAATTGCGTTTCCCCCTGATAATTCACTGTTTTTTTTTTTAATTTCGTTTTCCCTAACAATTCTCAGGGCTTACAAATCCGTAATTTTACTTTCATTCGATGTCGTTCAATTTCCGAATTTTTCTTCCATATTCTAAATATATCTAGATCCGAGTTTAGAAAAATATTCATACTTATTTATTATTTTATATAGTTTTTATTTTTTAATACATCTTCTTATGAGGAGTTGCAAAATTTTGTCTCGTTTTTAATTAAATGCTGCTAATTTTTTTCTTATTGAATCCATTATTTTAAATAATGCGTTAAAAAAACTAACTACTCAAATTTGGATTCTAACAGATGTTTTATAGTTGTCTTTGGAATCATTTAATTTGTACCAATAATAAAACTTTATTCATTTTATTTCGATGAATCGTAGCAGTCCAAAAAAATCTCAATGGTTTTTGTATTTTTTCCCCCACTAGCACAACCAATTTTGTTCTGAGTTATAATTTACTAAATTCTTCTGATTATTTTTTAAATGATTAAATTCTGCTTAACTATGTTCAGGGTATTCGCGCACCTGGAAAGTCATGAAAAATCATGGAAAGTCATGAATTTCGGTATTGAACAAAATTTGTCATGTAATGTCATGATTTTTACTATTTCTTAAAAAAATCATGGAAAGTCATGGATTTAGGTCTCCGAAAAATCTAATTTTTAAAATGGTATCTCCCTCCCCCCAATTTCATCCTGTTCCAAATATCTAAATTTCTAACAAAATCACCACTCAGTCATATTTTATTTGAATATAAAATGATTTTATCATGTTCTTTAAAAATTATGGTGTTCTTTCAAAAAATGAAGGAAAAAATATCATTTCTAGAGCGAATTATCCTTTAAACTCTCTTCTGTGATTTAGGAATTTTTATTATTATTATTTTTTAATTTTATCAATTTAAAATTTTAGTTGAAGCAAACCAGTTAGTGGTGAAATTTTTTTATTCCAAAATGAACAGAAAAATCAGGAGTATTTCTTTCCTTTCTGATGAACAAGAAAAGTATCTTTAGAATATAATTCTGCAGAAAAATTTTTTTTTTGCTTTTGTATATTTTTCAGCTATTTTATTGTTTCAACTCTCTGCTTACTCTGTTTTTTAAGTTTAAAATCTATAAATATGAAGATGAAGAGTATAATAGTTTTGGTTATACCTATTTCGAATAATGTTATTATAATGCTTTTTTCTTTAAATTTATTGTTGCGTATTTGTTGGAGAAAATAGCAACTTCGTTAAGTCATGAAAAATATTGGAATTAGTCATGAATTTTGAAAATCTAAAATGTAGCAGATACCCTGTATGTTCCTACCTAATTATTGAATAAAAAATAGCCGTATTTTGATTGTTTTCATATTCTTTATATATCCATTTCACTTTTTTTACTTTTTCTAAGTAAAGTATAGGGATATATTTTTCTTTTTATTTCTCTTTCATCTTCTGTTTATTGATATGCGTGTGCGATTCAATTCCCCCACCCCTTTGTAAATCAAAGTGAAAATAAAAATATCATGCCACTCTTCTATGTTTGATTGACGACAGCTTATCAGCAAAACAATCATTCCGTGTGACACACGAGAAAATAAAACGTTTGTCCTTTCCCTCTCGACCGTAAGATCTTCAAGGTAACGAAAGACTCTCCACAAAGAGGGAGAAACACATTTCCCTCAATTTCATTTCCGCTTTTATCCTTATTCATTCTAGCTCAAATTGGCTGGAAAACCAAGCAAATTTCTTTTTTTTTTTATACCGGATAAACAATTATGTACCGCATGTATATGAGTTTAGTAAAAGTATTAAGATTATTCTAATAAGGATTCTAAAAATATTTTTAATTACACAGGCCTGCCTGCAATGAAAAAAATAATGTATTTTTTGGTGCAGAAATGGAAAAAAATAATAAAAATTTCCATCACGTCACATTTTCTTGAAAAATTCAATTTTTCTAGAATTTTTATGAGCAATTACCATAAAAAAAGTTTCGTTTTTGAATTTCTTGCCTGACCGACATTCTATTTTGGTTAAATCTACAAAAGTACCCTTCTATGACATCTTCCTATCACCGTCCTTCTCTCTGTTACATTATCGCTCTACCAATAGCGTCACGAAATTTTTTATCTTGGTTCGCCAACCTCTCAGGAACTCTAGCAAGCGTATTTGGGAGTCATTTTTCGGAAGTCTGCTTTTCTCTATGCGTTTCGTGAAACATGGCTTCCAGCTCGAGACATTGTGAAAATTTCATTACAAACAGAGCATTACAGACTACGTAAGCCAACTTTATCATGCGTATTTTGGCATGAAACTAGGATGCCAGGACAAATCGTAGGCTCCTCATAAAGTTTGGGTACAGTATCTTAATGATCTACGCTTATCGCTCCGAGGAAAGAAGACTGCTTTACGATTCCTATGATATGTAGGGAGCCTAAAAACCACATTGATGATTGTTATTTTTGTAACTGCCATATTCGTGTGTATAACCGGAAAAAATTAAAAGGCTAATATCTTATCCGGATTACATTCCATCGGCCATACGCCCCGCTCTTCAAGGACATGATGTTCCTGTGCCTTTTTCTCCAACTGAATTACCAGTCATCTCTTCAGACGCGGAACATCCAGATGTGATTCTTCCGGGGATTTCCGCTTTTTTTTCTTTCAGATTTTTCCATTTTTCCCGCTAATTTCCGTGGAAATGTTTTTTCTTTTTTGAACAAGAAAATATTTTATGAGGAATTTAATTTTACGCGGAGAGAAAGCATTGAAGTTCTCATTCCTCCCTCTGTAGTTTCTCTAAAAATCATTTCTTTGGGATACAACTGGTTGATCTTTATACAGGGATGAGATTTTTACGCTTTTGCCTCTCGAATTTCAGCCTTTTTATCAAAAACTCCGATTCTCTAAAAGTTGCTTTTATTTTATTTTTATAAATATCCCGCTTTTCTTTTCTTTTTTTTTTTTTTGAAAATTCAGTTGTTGAAATAAAATAATTATATTTATTTACGATTTTCAAAGATAAACAGAAAATTCAAACTACGTCCTAGCTGCTAACCCTTCCGTATTTTTACTTATTTTAGCTATTTTTTCTACTTTTACGCACAGAAAATAAGATTTTCCGTATTTTTATTCGTCCGCCGGATAGCTCGTATTTTCGCAATTCAGACCTCGTGAACCTGTTATCTGGCTTGAAAGCAAACGGAAGAAGAAAAAAAGTAGAGGTGGATTTGCGGTGAAAATATTTATCTGCTCATTCAATTAATCTTGTAAATTTTAGGCAAAAACAATACAAGCAAGTCTTTTAGAAATCCCAAGTCTTCTAATATCCCAATTCCTATTCACGCGATTTTAATATCAATCATCAATTTTCGTATTTAACTGATTTAAAAGTTGCGCATTGCGATTCTTATTTACGCTATTTGAACATCGTACATTATGATTCTTATTTACGAGATTTAAAAATCCAATATCGCGTTTTGTATTTATGCATTTTTAAAGTCGCGATTTTATTATCAAACATCGATTTTCGTATTTCCCTGATTTAAAAGTTGAACGTTGCGATTCTTATTCAGGCGATGTAAATATCGTACATTGCGATTCTTATTTACGAGATTTAAAAATCCATTATCGTGATTTGTATTTACGCGCTTTTAAAACCCTATGTAGCTATTCGTATTCACGTGAGCTTAAAATCCATTGTCGTGATTCGTTTTAGCGGTTGTAATATCAAACATCGATTTTCGTATTTATACGTGCTTTAAAAATTAGACATTGTGATTTGTGTTTGCGCGATTTAAAAACTATGCATCGTGATTCGTATTTACGTGATCTAAAAATTACGCATCATGATTTGTATTTTCGCATTTTTTTAAAATTCGATATAAAGTTTCATATTCACAAGATTTAAAAGCCTCATATCGGGATATATATATAAACTCATGTTTGTGAAAAATGCAACACCATGAAGGAATCGTCATAATTGAATGAAATTTAATACACAGTTGAGCGGTAGTGATACAAATTAATGATTAAACTTTCAAAGCAAACAAACAATAACAAGAGATCGAAATCAGTATTTTGTGTAGCCACCAAGCGCCGCAATAAGTGCTTCTACACGACGTGGCATGTAGTCAAGCAAATTTTGAATGTCTGTCCGAGGAACAGTATGCCATATTGTTTGTATGCGTACCCAAAGTTCGTCTGTAGAAGCAGCAGGACGAGGATCACGAGTGAAATGCCGACCAACGAAATCCCACACATGTTCAATCGGCGACATATCCGGGGAATACGCTGGCCAAGGAAGAAGCTGTACCTGCCGGGATGCTAGGAAGGATTGAACAGTCCTAGCAATATGAGGGCGGGCATTGTCCTGTTGAAATACAGCGCCTGGTAAGGTTTGAAGGAAAGGAACAGCTTGGGGCTTCAGAACTTCCCTGATGTACCGGTTGCTATTCAGATTACCCACAATTCGCAGCAATTGAGATCGTCCATGATATGCTATGGCACCCCAGACCATAACTCCGGGTGTTCGTCCACTGTGGCTTTCGATAATGCACTCCGGAAGGTGGCGTTNTATTTACGTGATCTAAAAATTACGCATCATGATTTGTATTTTCGCATTTTTTTAAAATTCGATATAAAGTTTCATATTCACAAGATTTAAAAGCCTCATATCGGGATATATATATATATATATATATATATCCCGATATGAGGCTTTTAAATATATATATCTATATATATATAATATATATATATCTGCCTACTCTCATCCCTGAGAAGTTCAAGGCTCTGATATCGAATATAAGTCATCTGACACTGGTTCACCTCAGCCCTTTTCTTAGGTTGAACTAAATGATCTGACTAGAGATCTGGGCCTTTCGAAAAAGAAAGTTGAATAATTGTTAGTCTGCAGACTGAAGGAAAAAAACATAGCGGCCAAAGGAACATCTTTTCATTGGTACATGAATCCAGAAAAAGAATCTATTAAGTACTTTGATGAAGAGGAGAACTTGGTCTATTGTTCTGATGTTCCTGGATTGATGAGCAAGTTTAAAGTCATCTACGATAAAGATGAGTGGAGGCTGTTTATTGATTCTAAAAAAAGCGTCAAAGCTGTTATTCTTCATCATGGGAGCCAGTATGCATTTGTACCAGTTAGACACTCGGTATGTATAAACGAATGCTACGAAAACCTGGCTCTCGTCTTGGACAAAATAAAATATATCGACCACAGTTGGACCATTTCCAATGTTATGAAAGTTATATCCATGTTTCTTGTTTAACATGGTGGATTTACAAAGTTCTCATGTTTCATTGGTGAGTGGGACAGCCATGACGAGACTCAACATTGGGTCAAAAAAGAATGGCCGAAAAGACAAAATCTTGACCCAGGCTCCAAGAATGTAATTCGAAACAGCTTAGTTGATCCAAAAAAAGTATACCCTTTCTAAATATAAAATTAGCTGTTCGTCAAGGCTGTTCCAAAAGATGGCAATTGTTTCAAATACATGTGGAAAAAGTTACCAGGTTTATCCCAAGCTAAATTAAAAGAGGTAATCTTTGTTGGTCCAGATGTCTGCAAACTCATCGAGGATAAAGATTTTAAGATTAACATGACAACAACGAAAAAATAACCTTGGGTTGCCAACGAAAAAATAACCATCTAAAATAATAAGATGTCGACAGTAAATTTCTGGATAACTACGAAGATCCTGACTGTAAAGCAGTTGTAATGGAAATGCTGGTCAAATTTAAGACTTTGGACTGCTCCATGAGTGTCAAAATGCATTTCCTTCACTCACACGTGGACTTTCCCCCCGAAAATGTAGGAGCAATCAGCGAAGCACAAGATGAAATGTTCCGTCAAGCTATCAAAGATACAGAGCGCAAATATCAAGGAAGACGGGACAAGAACATGCCCACCAACTACTCTTAGATGTTAACTTGAGATAGGTCTAAGATTAAGCAAAAAAGAAGATCATCAAAAATAAGTTTCAGAGGAAAACGAGTATGTACTTATGTAGAAACTGTTTTGTTTTTTGTTTCAAAGTTTCATGTACACAAGGACAATATTTGCTATTCTTGGTCAATTGTCAATTTTACGTAAGTTACCTGTAAATTATAATGGTATGATGGTGATTTCCTTCTAGAAACTGATGTAAAAAGTTTAAACTCAACGAACTTATTGTTTTTCTCTCGACCAGAGTTAACTTGTCCGATCTAGCAACAGTATTTTTCATTCATTTTAATCTATAAAAACTTAGCCAGTCGCTCAAAATATAGTTTACCATCACGAGATTCAATTTTACATAGATTGAAATGAATAAAGACGACAGTTACCAGATAGTACATGCACAATTGCTTGAGAAAATCCTTTTCCAAATAGGATTTTAGTGAAAATATCGATATCGATTTTACAAAAAATCCTGATGTGATGATGGAAAATGAAGGTCATTTTCGGAATCAGGGCATCAAATAACATATAAATCAATAAAAACTTCTCTTGTATTTTTCAAAAACTTCAATTTTGCAGGCTTGTGTTATTTACATGTAAAATTTTCTTAAGCAATTACTTTTATGTTCAATAATAGAATCTGTCATTTTCCAGCTTTAATTGCATTATTATAGTTGATTCAGTTGCTTCATTAGGAGCTGTTCCATTATTTATGGATAAATGGGGTTAGTAGTGTTCTAATTTTTGTGAAGGTTTTATTATTTTCATAAAATATATCTTTTTTAATTGCAATAATCTTTTTAGGTATTGATGTTTTGTATAGTGGATCACAAAAAATTTTGAGTGCACCACCTGGAATTTCTCCTATTTGCTTCAACACTAAGGCAGTGTAAGTATAAAAGAACATCCTAGTTTCATGCTTAATGTTTCTGTCTTTTTTTCTTCTTTTTTTTATTGAGCAGTAGTGTATGCAATAATTTTTCAAAGAAGGGGATAAAAATTGGCACTGTTTCTAGAAAATCATACTCATATATATATTACAAAGGTCAAAATTATCTTAAAAATTTAGGACACTGTCTTTTCTGAAATTTAAGAAGGGGACATAGATGCTTCATTATTTGTCTACTGCTAAAAGAATTGATATACCTATGAATACAATATGATTCACTTTCTTTCTATGACATAAAATCTTTCAATTTAGAATTCAGTGTATCACCTATCTTAATGTGACTGTTGGAACTGAATTTTGGCCACTACTTTTTAATTTTTGGATCGAGTTTGGTGGAGGCTCAAGTTGTCCTTTTAACTAGGAAACTTTTCCATTATTAACTCCCACCATAGCAGGAGTACCATCTTTAGTTATGCTAATGCATTTATCCATATTAAGTGCAGCATAGCTGCACAATTCAGTCAAACTCAGAAGAAGTTTGCTTCGAGTTTTTTGACCTTTCATTGGATAAACACCAAGAAGTTATTTATTAATGGGAAATTGATCATCAATTCCTTGAATATACACCAGTAGTTGGACCACTGATGTACTTTGTGTTTATCAACAGCAAGAGAAAAAAAAAGCGGAGAATTAGAAGTAATAGTGTATAAAATTTTAAACGTAAAAACATTAATCAATTTAGCTGGGCACCTGACTTCGCTTGGCCATATAGAAGGAGTAAATGAAAATAAGGGCTTTAGAAAAATCTTTAATTTGAAACCAATGCGCACAAAATCTAGAGAAAGACCCGATGAGAGTTGGTTAATTGATGTATCAAAAGATCTAATTATACTTAAAATTTAAAATTGGAAATCTAAGACTAAGAACAGAAAGGTTAGAAGCAACATTGTTTAGCAAGCCTAGGTCCACTGCAGGCTGTAGTGCTATAAAAGGAAGAATTTAATACAGAACTTTATGGCATTGTGCACAAGCCGCATTTACAGCATTGTGCACAAGCCGTCTTTACTTCCCTCATAAGTTGGTAACCATTCGTCTGAAGCAGGGTGGGTTACGGGGATCAAACCTTCACATGACAGTTCAGTGCCTTAACCACTTAGTCATTAACCTTTATGTTTCTTCTTTGTTTTTATCTTTGGGAATATAACATAGAAGAAGGATCATTTTTATATGTAATATTTTAAAAAGGGTATGTTGTTATTTGTTATTTTATAAAAAGTTTTTGATGAACAATATAAGTACCTTCATTTTATTGATAGAAAAAAAATGAAGTCAAGGAAAACTCCTATATCATCCTTCTATATGGATGCTTTATTATTAGGAAATTATTGGAATTGTGATGGAGACCCCGTGAAGTGAGTAAGGTTTCTGTCATTTCTGAATTAGTAGTAAATATTCAGTCAAACCTTCAAGGGACCCACTATATCCGTACTTCAAACAATTTTAACTAATTTTTCCGAACTGCTCCCTTTTATTACACATTTTTTAAATTAATGGCAAATAGAAAGAAATACAAAAATGATTAAAAGACAGTAAATATGTAGTAATTTCTCTTCGGCTTTCGTGCAAAAATTTAGGGAGCAAACAAGAATAAATGCTTATGGCTACATTCCACTCAATAGATGGTTTTAAAAATCGGTATATTTATTTTATGTAGAAATTTCAAAATTACCAAAAAAAGGACCGAAAAATCTTCTTTTGGTTCCACACACAAATAATATTATATATGCACAGGAGCGAACATTTTGACTCTATAAATAGCTAGGTTTGATTTAACCTTGGTATGATGGTCCATTATGGATTCTACTTAAATATTCTATTCTTATTTCTTTAAGAAAATGTTTGATTTTTGACCTTCCTATGTTTGCTTGGAATGGTAGTTTTTTCTTCTTCTGAGAATTATCATTGTTCAAAAAACATTTTAAAATTAAGCATTTTTTTATGTGTGCTTTATAATGGACCTCTCTTGGTAATTTGTTTGAAAATTTTTCTTAAATTTTATTATCTGTTTTTTTACTTGAATTATTTCTTTTCACTGTTACAGAGGTGCCAACTTTCTAAACTGGCTATCAGTAATCAAAAGTACAATGACACAAAGATATATACAAGTAGCATTTATAAAAATCAACTTATCAAAAATTTTTGGTGTATATACCACTTAATTTTTATATAGGTATATAATATGATTAAAATGCACGAATTTTTTATTAAATATAAAAAGTAACACTTAGATAGAGGTACTAAATTTAAAATTACAACACTGAAATTCCGTGCATGGGTTAAGCACGATTTGATTTAAATTAATTATTTTTATTTAAATTGTATTTCATTTGAAGAATTTTTTACAAATGTATTAAATTCAACATACTTGTAATTACTTTATATTTCTTTAAAATAAGCAATCGATTAAAATTATTTCCAAATTAAAGATATACTTGTTAAATGTATCAGAAATTTAATTAATGGAATAAAAGAAAACTAACAATTCTCTCTAACATAACTTAGTCAATGAAACTGGCCAAAGAAAAAAAAACATTCTGAAGATTTATGGTGAAGAAATAGGAATAAGCTTACAAAATAAAACTTAAAAGCTTAAGAAATAAAATTGTAGCAGATAATTTCACCTCTTTTAAAAGTCATTGACTTTTCATTATAAGATAGTACAGAATTGCATACTCTTTAATATAATTATATCAAGAAAGATGAATTTTAAAAAAAAAAACTAATTTATCTGAAATTTTTCTTTAATTGAAAAGTAACTGAAAAATTCATGAATCAGAATATCATTTTGCAAAAAATGAATCTGAAGTAGGATCTTAAAAAATATGTGAAAATCCACAGCAAAAACTGCTGATTAACAAAACCGCACTCATTTAAGAAGAAATTGCCAGTAATCAAGAGTAATGAGGAACCTGCATGCTTTTTTTTTTGCGTTTTAAAATTAAACATCATGCCATTTTACAAAGATAGACACCAATTTCAGACCGGGGCGATCACTTGTTATTTTGTTATTAATAGTTAAAATCCCTCAATTAGCCCTGCCCCCTAAATCACTGCTAGGTTTCCCATCCGCTCTGATGATGTCATGATATAGTACAACCATGACTCCTATCATGTTTTGAAACGGCAAAAGCATATGCCGTGCCGAGTATAAATTCTGAAAAATGGCTCCAAGCAAAACTACAAGTGTTGCATTGTACCATGTGCAATATTTCTACGTTAAACAAGCCAAATAAATTATTTTTTAGTGTACCAAAAGGAGAAAAAAAGACAAATTTGGTGCAAAGCTATCAAACGCGATGGAAAAAGAACTCGCAAATTGTCTGCAACTACTGCATTATACTGTTGCTAAGACCATTTTACAGTAACTTAATTATAATTTAATTGTATAAGATTGCTTTTCTGATTGATAAACTTCTCTGAATGAATAATTCATTATATTGAATTAAAATGTTTATGAAATGCTGTTCAAATCAGTTCTTTCTTTCTTTTTTTCCTTCTTTTTTTAATTCTTTAAAATGAAAGGATTTTATTCTTACAGTGGTGAACTGGTTTTTTTTTAAGTTAAAAAATAATTTTATCTAGAAGAAAAAATTATCAGAGTTAAAATAAAAAATGATAGGGGTATAGCATTATTTACATTTCTTCCAAAAAAAAAAATTTTTTTTTTTAAATTTTATTTACCTAAAAGCTTATAATTCCAGGTCATATACCATTCATTCCATTCCCTCTAATTGAGATCAACTCATTAAATAAAAACTTTCGAAACAGTTCAGACTTTTATACATAGAAAAATATAAATAAAAATGAATCAGTATAAATAAAGAAAAATGAATTTATTTCAAAAGTTATTTAAAAAAAAGTAGTTTCGACATTTATTTTTTCATCCTTAAATTTTATTTCATTATGCTGAAAGGTGCCCGCGAAAAGTTTCTCAAGGGGGAGGATGCAACTGATATCCACTACATATATATTTAAACTATATATATGATATAAACATGAAAGAAAAACAATTTTTTAAAAATGCAATTCAAATTAAAATGCCTTTGAAATACTTTTCTCGATAGGAAGCTTTGGTTTAACTCCTCCCGTTCGCTGAGTTAATATACTTTGACGTCATAAGCAAACCCCGTCTCGTTTTGTGTCACGTGATGTTAGTTTCGTTTTGGGCTGACTTTAAGTTAATTTTTTTAAAATTCGGGTCAGTTTTTTAAATTCTGAATTGATTTTAGAGAGTTTTAAGATACAGACTACCCTTATGAAAAAATAGAGGTATAAACGAGGTATATTTTAAAGGTATAAATGAAGTTGTTATTTAAATACGTCGTTAAGG